TGGGTGAATCAAACAAAGCATATTATTTGCTGGCTATGCGCAATTTACTTTGATTGTTGTGTATATGTATTAGTAACAGCAGCAACAGTTGTTGCGGTTGCTCGAAATGCAAAGTTACACTTTACTTACACACGTGCATACATAATAGCTTTATTTTTTTTAAATATATCTACAGATGTTTATATGTTATATTATGTGTGTGGTGGTTGTGCGTCTCAATGCATTGTAAAGCCACCGACAAACGGCCGGAAATCGATGCAATCTAAATTATTTACTTGCTGCCTGCAGTGCGCGCTGCTCTGAACGACGACAACGGCAACTATGGCAGCATGTAAATATACATATTTGCACTTACGCGCAGGAACATGTATGTATGTATACGTACTTATACTTATTACTATGCTATACAAGTATGTAATGTAAGCTTGCATGTTGACAAAAGTAAGGAGTGGCTCTCAGAAGCGGATTATGCCACGGCCACCAAGCTGCCGCCAGGCAAATCAAATACCCCTTATAAGTGTATTTGTGTGTTTTTTGTCATTTATTATTATCCATGTGCTGTTGTTTACTTACGAGTTACCTAGATTTCCAAGGCAATTGCCTGACAGAGCACCTTCAAACAGCACCATCGGAAGTGCAATGACGACCTTAGTCTGAACAAGCACATCGCGATCAACTCAAAGCAAACAATTTTTTTCTTAGGTCGGTGTTATGCAGAAATTATGTTTGGCAAACTGCGTGCAATTGTTGTTGCAGCAAACTCGGAGAGATCGAGTTTGGTGACTCTCACAGCAAACTAATTTTGTTTGGTCAAACTGCAGCAAATTCGGTGTTGTCATATACAAAAATCTTAAATTTTGCGCGTTATGTACATCTGAAATTCTCATTTGGTGTTGGCAATAGCCATGAAAACCATAATGAACGTGCAACCCTGCGCCAAACTCGACATAACCACCCCCGAGCAAACTAAGCAGCCGCCATTTAATTTGGCAAACAAAAGTTTGTCTGCATAACACCGACCTTAATCGAAAAGAATCGACTGAGAGTTCTCGCTCAAGCTGAACGTCAAGGTATACTACGTGTCAAAGCTGGACAGTCTTCTTCTTCTTATTAGGCGCTGTAATCGCCCAAGCGATTTTGGACGAGTTGAACAAAGCACGCCACTCGTTTCTTTTCTGTGCCACCTGACGCCAAGTCCTTCTCCACCTGATCTTTCCATCGCAGTGGGGGCCCCCCTCTTCCTCTGCTACCACCAGCGGGTTCCGAGTTGAATACTTTCAGAGCTGAAACGTCGGTGTCTATTCGAACGACACGGACAAGCCAGCGGAGCAGATGTATTCTAATTCGCTGCTCTATGTCCATGTCGTTGAAAAGCTGATACAGCTCATCGTTCCATCGTCTGCGGTACTGGCCGTCGCCAACGCGTAAACGCCCGTAAATCTTCCGCAAAATCTTTCCCTCGAACGCTCCAAGAGCTGCTTAGTCGGATGTTGTCGTTGTCCATGCTTCTGCGCCATATACCTGGACAGTCACGGAACATATATTTTGAAGTCTCATCGTCCACAAGGCAGAGCCGGAATCATGTCGCTGGTGAACCAACTGAGACAAAAAGCTGTTAAAGATCCTTCCCGTGCCAACTCATCAGCGAGCTCGTACCCGTTGCCATAATTTGTTGCGTGTCAAAGCAGATTGGATTTCATTGTCTTGGCTATCTGAAAAGAGAACTTGGAAGGACCTCGTCAAACCCTTTTCAATGTTTCATTCGGCGCAGATTAAGACTGCTAATACTTCAGCCTGAAAAAGTTTGGTAACGGGTCCATAAAAATCTGCATGTTCTCTATCCTCGATCCTTTAGCCATATTTGTATCAAAGTGCATATCCCAGATGTGCAGGGCAGGGTGCCCTTTTGCCAATCTTCGCGGTTTGGGATCTTCACTATCTGCCAAAGCAGATCTCTCTAGTTATGGAATCAGAAGTTCTGCATATTTCCAACTGTGGTATCTTTCTGCGAATGCCTGTATGGAGCTTCCTCGTATGGGAGCAGTCGTTAGATAACCGAAGTGCCTCTCCCTCGTGGTTTATTTTTCTTGAGTAAAATAATGGAGAGGAATCCATTCTACAAGCGACTCTAGAGCCGTAGTTTTTTGCTGTGTCCTCTTCCCCCACGCTACGGCCGCGTCTTGAGATAGAGCCACCCTATCGGTCTTGCGTTGAAGTCCCATGTTCTTCCAAAAAGTCTTCTGCAGGCCCACATAACACCTGTAGCTTTAGCAACAGTTTTCTCGTGATGATAACTTCAGTTAAGCCTCTTATCTAGCATAATCCCTAGATATTTGACTTCATCAGAGTATTCAAGCACTGTCCCTGAAAGAGTGCCCGAACCTAGGTTTGGTTTATACCTTGTTGTAAACTGTACAATAGCAGCCTTTTGAGAATTTATACTGAGGCCCTAATTGTCACAGCGGTTTGAGACCACACGAAGAGCTTCTTGTAACGTCTGATAGACTACTGCCGAATTTTCCTGTACCTAAAATTTCCAGGTGATCTGCGTACCAAACAGCTTCGTAACTGCATTGAGGTACTCTGATTAAGAGATCGTCTATCACAAACGACCAAAGCAAAGAACTCCTCTTTGCGGCCAGCCTCTCATGTCTCTGATCCTCACTTTAGTATTGCTATGGACGATGTTTTTCAAGCTCACGAAACATTGGCAACATTTATTATTATTTTTTTTTTTTTTCAATATAATTTGGACCATCTTATTACCCCAGTCGGCCGCTGTGGTGTAGTGGTAAGCAGTGCGCGCTTCCACTCCGCAGCACCTGGGTTCAAACCCTGGTCAAAGCAACATCGCAAAAAATATAGAAAAAAGGTTTTTTCTTAACAGCGGTCGTCCCTCGGCAGGCAATGGCAAACCTCCGAGTGTATTTCTGCCATGAAAAAGCAGCTTCTCATAAAAATACAATCGCTGTTCGGAGTCGGCGTAAAACTGTAGGTCCCTCCGCTTTGTGTGACAACATCAAGGCGCACGCCACAAACCGGAGGAGAAGCTCGGCCAAACACTAACATATGTGTAAGCGCCAATCTATTATTATTATTATTACCCCAAACTTTAGCTTCGGGCCTTTGTTCATATGTGGGACATAAGAATAGAAAACATACATACATACATATGTGTATGTATATATGTATGTAGAAACAAAACTCGTTGTCAACAATCATTCAAGATGACGAAAGTGATAAAAGTGTCATTACTATTTGTCAACGCAGCTACTGGCATTACAATGATGGCAGTTTAGTGTTTGTTCGCGTGTGTGGATTTGTGAAAAAAACCAACTTTATTGCCGGTTGTTTATTTACCACCAAATTCAGAAACGTGCCACTTCAACTAAATATTACTATT